AGTTGGAGACGATCTCAAGAACAGGTTTGCTGCATTGAACACTGATGACAGAAGACCCGATGAGCTGTGGGAGGACGTCGAGAGCATCTCACATGGACCAAGCTAAAGATCACCCAAAAAGACAGGAGAGAAAGAGAAGATCACCTTGGCCGTCAAAAGAGACTCCGAACCTTCCCTTGAATCATAGAGTAGCTAAGGACAATGGGGGGAAATGATGGCGTCAAAGTGCTGAACAGACATTTTCAAAATGCCGCTGGGAAGACGATGTAAAAATACTGTAATGAAAGGTGCAAGGCCCTAGAGTTAGGAATCCAAAAACGAAGAACACACCCAGCGTAACTGAAAGAACTCGAGGGGAAAAAAAGCAAGCCTCCAATTGTCATCTTGAAAAATTCCATGGGCAAAATATTGAATGAAGCATCAAAGGAAGATGTAAAGAACACACAGAGTCACTGTACCACACAGAACTGGTCAATATTTAACCTTTAAAGAGTTGGCATATGAGCAAGAGCCAATGGTACTGAAGGAAGACATTCAAGCTGCACTGAAAGCATGAGCCAAAACAAGGCTTGGCATGGATGGAATACTAATGGAAAGGTTTCAACAAGCTGATGAAGCTCTGGAAGCATTCACTTGTCTATCCCCAGAAATTTAGAAGACAGCCACTGGTCAACTGACAGGAAGAGATCCGTATTTGTACCCATTCCAAAGAAAGGCGACCCATTGGAACGTGCAAATTATTGAACAATATTATTGATATCACTTTCAAGTAAAATTTTCCTTAAAATCATCCAACAATGGTTGCAAGCAGTACATTGATAGGTTATTGCCAGAAATTCAGGCCAGATTCAGAAAAGGATTTGGAACAAAGGATATCATTGCTGATATCAGATGGATCTTGGCTGAAAACAGTGAATACCAGAAAGGTGTTGACTTGTGTTTTACTGTCTATGTTTGCTAAGGCATTCGGCTGTGTGGGCTATACCCTACTCTGGATGCCCGTGAGAAGAATGGGAATTCCAGAGCATTTCATTGTGTTCATGTGGAACCTATACATGGATCAGTAGGAAGTTGTGGGACCCAAACAAGGTAATGCTGCAGGAAGGGTGTGTGTCATGGTTGTATCTTCTCACCATACTTATTCAATCTGTATGCTGAGCAAATCGTCAAAGAAGCTGGATTATATGAAGAAGAGTCTGGCAGCAGGATTGGAGGAAGGCTTGTTAACCACCTGCAATACACAGATGACA